ATGTTCTTAATACCGAGGGCACGTTTCAACAATTGAAAGGTACAAATAGAGCATTATTATTTACACACAACTATTACTAGCTAGAATTCAGTTTTTTTTTTTCTTTGGCCGGTATTGATTAGGAGGAAAAACAATTTACCATTGAAATCATTTTTCCTTTTTTTTTTATGAAAATAAAATATGTCAATAGTTGTGTAATTTATTAATAGATTGTTAGATTTTAAATAGATTTTAATTTAATTGATCATTGTTTAATATCTGATAATTTCAAATATAAAAAAAAATTCTCTGATATGAAATTTATTCATTAGGAAGAAGTTAATCCATTGCATGACTGATTACTTCATACTGAGCCTAAGAAAATAAACAGAATTCCATGAATGTTAGGTTGCCAAAAGATAAATACTTCCATTTTCCACAAACACATTGAAGTAAATAAGCCATACATCCACCTTCATTTACTTCGTGGGCCTTGAATACATAGTCGACCAATGGGCTTTTCAAATGAACATTTTAAGATGGACGCCGGACCAAGGCCGAGGCTATGGCCATGCCAAGCTTCAGTGCTATACTGCTGTCAGAAACACCACCGTAAACCATTCATTCCGAAAACCAAATTTAGTTTTTCCTGTTCAATGAGTTGGATTCAAATCCCCATCTCTAATATCAAAAAAAGAAAAAAAAAAAGGCTAGCCCAACATGACATTTGCTCCAAATTAATCACAACAGTAACTTTCTCCCCTAAAAGAGAAAAAAGAAAGTTTAAAATTGTAAGTAGCCTAAAAACTTGATAATGTTATGCACAAAGAAATCCTACAAACTGTTGGATAACTTGTTAATTACAGACTGATAAAACTAACTCACAATTGGACTTCTTCCACAATTTCGTCTTCTGCATTAACAAATTCCAGGTTCTCCATTTTACTATTATGAGCTTAATGCATATAAGGATTTCCATTAATGCAAAGATTCTTAGTCTCTGGGTTCCAGGATCATCCACATTGTTATTGCGACCTGCCATGGTTTTTATTCCGAACACGTCATTCATGATCTTTGGAAAACGGTCCAATGGTATATGTTTTGGTCCAAGACTTGTAAACTCTGTTTTCATTCACGATCTATAAGTCAAGGATATACGTTTTATTAATTAAAAAAAAAAATCTTGATCTGGGCTTTTGATCTGCCTCGAGTATTTTTCTTCGAAGATTGCTCAAAGGGGATAAAAACATTGAGACCAGGGCACTTCCATCTCATTGAGTAAATCATCTTAATTAGTTAATTATTTGAGACACAGGCGAAAGAAACCTGGTGAGTTTTCTAATTCTCAACATAGGGTCTCTTCACCAAAGATGTAATGTCTTTTACTCTGCTTTCTGTCAAGGTATTTTGGCTCTTCCAATGGACTTTTGACATGGCATGGAGTCATTTTAATGGATGGGAACCCATGGATGCATATAAATGAATGTACTGGGGGTTTGCATAGTTGCTTAATTAAATGGCAGGAAGTTTCCACAGGTAATCTACGATAATATCTTCAGGAAATTTTGGAGCAAATTCGTCATCCTCAGTTGGCAGAAAACAGTATATTCCGCACTCCTCATGCTACACTGTCTAATCTTATTTAAAATGTTAAAAATAAACAAGGCTAATTCATTAAGGGGCACTTAATTTCCCTGAATTTGCATTGCAGCTCATGATTATATCATAGTTTTGAAATATCCTAACCAGCTACTGGGTGCCAGTGAATTTGCTCGATCCCTATAGACTTCTTTACCACAAAATTTTATCTTCATTTCATATGAAGTTTGAAATGACGTTGAATAGTCAAAGGCTTTGAGGAGCATTTAATAAGGGAATGCCCCTGTTGCAGGTTGAAATCCATCTGTACTTTAAGTTTTATTAACTTTGACTTTTACTTTGACTTTCATATATGTTGTCACGTGTTAGCTTTTTTGCTTTTTATTTTTTAATTTAATTTAATTTTAATTTCAGTTCGATTTTTTTTTCATTTTCCTTACATATTTAGTAAATTATTTTCTAAAAACATGTGGGAGACCATTTAATATTATTAATTAAAGAAATAATTTTTTTGATTTTTTTAATAGATAATTTTTTAGGAAAATGATATTAATAAAGGTATCAAATATATCATCTAAATTTTTTTTAATTAGAGATTAAATCAAAATTTTAAAAAAAAATTGGTGTCGGATTGGAAGCAAACTTAATCTATAATATAATTTAGTATATTTGGTCAAACTTTGACTTTCATTCATGGTTTCATGTGTCAAATTTTTTTGTTTTACTTTATATTATATGAAAAAAAGAGAGTTGATGAAAAAAGTGGTGATAAGAAAAAAAAAAAAAAAGAAAGAGAAGTAAAGGAAAGAAAAAGAAAGTGGCATCTCACTTTTTTTCCCTTACCAAAATAGATTATCTCTATTTCAATTAAAAAAAAAAAATCAAGTGATAAGGCAAGACAAAAAAAATTCCTTCCATTTTTATTTTGATAAATTTGTTTGACTTGAGGTTTAACCTTTTTTTTTTTTAAATTATTTTTTGATATTTTTTAAGTAGACAATATGAATGCTGCAGATTTCAACTATAAGCTGCAACGTGTCGATCATGTGCTTGTTAAGTGGCAGTTAGTTTTTTTAGGGGGCTGACTTATTTTTTAAAAAATATTTTAAAAGATGTGGTGCCTAAAACCTTCTTAAAAAGTTTTTTGAGTGGGAGACCTACATCTTAATTTTTTTTCTTCCAATTTTTCTTTTCCTTCTTTTTTTTTTTTTACTTTTTTTTAATGGGATCCACGTGTTTTTTATTTTTAAAATTTTTAAAAGATGTAAATCTCATATTTTTTTAAAAATTTTTGGATGTAGAACCCACACCTTTGTTTTAATGTTTTATTCATTTTCTTAAAATTTTTTCTTATTTTTAAACTATGGGGCCCATATTTTTTATTTTTAAAACTTTTCATTCTTTTTTTTTTTTTTTTGCGTGAAATCCACACCTTTGTTTTTTTCTAACCGATTTTTCTATTTTTATAAATTTTTATCTTTTTATTATAAGACCCATTTTTTTAAAAAAAATTAATACAAATGTTATATTGATACGTAATTGTAATTTAATTCAATTATTTTTCCAATCATCTTATCAATAAATTGTATATATATACGAATATATATTATACATCGCTTGTTATCTGCATTATTTTCTTAAAGCCCATAAGTGTAATCTCTTTAATTTTTTAAACAAAAATTTTTAAAAGGTGATACACACCATCAAGTTTTTTCCTATGAGGCTTACGTTTTTCTTTTATTTTTTTGATTAAGAGATTCGTATTTTTTCATGAGACTTACTTTGACAATTTTTTTTATTTTTTTTGAATTTTTTATTTATTATAATTTTTCTTTCTATGAGACTCACTTTTTTCAAAATTTTTCGTTAAACTCTTTTTGTAGATTTTTTTTCTTTGCTATCATGTGTAATTTTTTATTTCTTTTTAAAAATGCTTCATAAATATCTTTTATTTTTTGAGGTATTGACTTAATATCGAATTTTATCCATTTTTTTTCCTTTCCTTTTTTCAAAAAGACTTGATAAAATTTTTAATACTTTTTTTACCTTTTTAATATCAATGGTATGCGTCATTTTTTTTTTCTGTTTTTTAACTTTTTTTTCTTTTTTATAAATTTAACAAACAAATTTTTAGATTTGCCTTTTTTTTTTTATGATTGACTTGATCTTAAGGATATGTCAAATGCCAAGTTATTTGTTTTTTTTGTTTCTTTTGCTGTTTAATATTTTTCTATTTAGTTTTTCTCCTTTATTTATTTAATAAAAAAATAAAATATTTTTTAAAAATTTAAGACTCATTTTATAGCATTGTTAAAATATATTTTTTGTTTTTTTTTTTTTTTGCAAAAAAAATATTGAAGAATATGTTGATGTCACATCTGAATTTAACTTTTTTCATTCTTTTTTTTTTGTTTTAAAACTTACTTGATATCAAGTGTATACCATGTGTTTTTTTTTGTTTTTTTTTTGTCATATATATTATTTTTTGTTTTTATATTTAATAAATATGTTAATGAATTTAATTTTTTGTGACCCATTGATGCTAAGTGTATAAGATGTATCCAATTATTTGCCTTTTTTTCTTTATTTTTCCAAATTTCTTTAATATTTAATAAATTTTTATAATATTTTAAAATTTCTTAAGAAGTTTGGTCCATTTAATATTATTGATTTAATGTATATTTTATTTGATAATTTTAGAAAATGATATTATGAAAATTCATCGTGACATCGATATTTGATTTTTATTTTTTATTAAACTAAATTAATTAAAAAGGAGATGTGGATTGAGGTATCCCAATCGCAACTTCGTTTTATTATTTTTATTTTTTAATTAAATCAATTTTACAATAAATATTATTAGTTGATAAAAATATTAAAATAATTTGCATTCAATATATTTGATCTATCCGATTAGATAAGAGGGTGAATTTTTTTAGATCGAAATAAAGTTAAAACATTTTTATTTTTTTAAAGGAAGAGGAGATTGGGATAAAAACATGTTTAAATTATTCTGTTCAGATCAATTTTGAAGTATATATATAATTTTATTAATTTTGTTTTATATATTATATTAATAAAAGTGATCATTGATACCTTAATAAATTAATATTTTAAACTTAATGAAAATGTCTTATGCCATCTTCTATGAGCTTTTTTTTTTTATTTCTTTAATTTTTTCACTTTTTTTTTCTTGATTTTTTAACTTTTAACTTTTTTATTTTTTAAATTAAATATTTTTACTCAATCGAATAATTACATCTCATCTCCATTTATTTTTTTTATTACTTTTCGCCCTTTTTTTTGTTTTTAAATTAGGTGAAGTTCACAATAAAAAAATCAATTAAATAGATGTAACAAAATAAAAAAAAAAAAAAACAAATTTAAGCTGCTACAATGGGTAGATATTTTGCTAATAAATTTTTAATTTTGAATAAAATTGTCATTCATTCCAACGATATAATTAAAAAAATGCTTATACAAATGTTATACAAATGTTTTATTTACCCAAGAAACAAATTCAATCTCAACTAGTCGCTTTGCTTATTAAATTTCTCCGTTCTCATAGTGTCTTCTTCTGCATGTGAAACTTTTCCCTCCTCATTCCGCATCTCTTTCGATCTGGAAATCTCGATGCCTGCGTCCGTAGTTGCGTTGTTTAACATTTTGGAAGATCACTCGGAGGTGGAAGAAGTGACTGATTAGGACCTTTTCCATTGTCCACCAAGAATGCCATCTTAAGCCCCCACGTCGTATGCACTTCCAAATGGCAGTGCATGAACCAAACTCCTGAAAATTCAGAAAAGGAATTGTGATCGGAGAGAAGTTCATGGATGAAAACATGGGAAAGAAAATTATGAATGTATCAGAAGATAATACATTGTTAATGTACCTGGGTTATCTGCACGGAATCTGATAGCTACCCATCCACCAGTTGGTACCCCAATTGTGTTCCTCTCAACTGGATCGACAAGATTAAATTTCTGAGGATCTGTCTTTGGATTGTAGTTTCCAAGTCCCCTACCAACGGCGAAGAAATTGAATCCATGTAAGTGGATGGGGTGGTTCTCAGGGGCTATGATCGCAGTGTCTTGTAAAACAAGTTGTACTGTAGAGTTATAAGCCAGCCTGAAAACCTTTGTCCCATTTGTTGTCTGCAAATTTCTTGGTGGAGTTCCAGAGTAATTAAACACGTTTGGTGGGTTAGCGGGAAAATCAGTCGTGAAAACCCCACTGATGTTGAAGAAATGTGCTTGAAGTAAGGCTGTCGTAGGCATAATGAATGTCACATTATTAATAGAAGCTACCGCGCGGCTACCATTACCGGCTTTGCAAGTAGGACAGGGGTTAATCCCCAGTCCGACAGTGAAGAAAAGATTGTGATCAATAGTTTGTGGGACTAAGGCAGGGAATTGTTTGGAATTGAGGGCACGAAGTGAGTTTATAAAGTTGTTGGCAACTTGTGTGGCATTTTGTGGTGGTGGACTAGTGAGAGTTGTGGGGGTATTGGCAAGTGTGCCTGAGTAGTGCAAGGTTGCTGTTGCAGTCAGGTTATCCACAGCAACCGGAGCGTCCATGAAAGGGGACGCTGCGACCAAGTACTTGCCAGAATTTTGATCAGCAGAGACAAGGACATTGGTGGTTTGGCCTGGGGCAATTAAAACTGTATCAGCTTTGAACGGTTTAACATATGTGGCGTCCACTTCCACAACAGTGAGCTTGTGATCAGCAATTTTGAAGAAAAGCTCTTCATTGAGTGCAGCATTGATTAGGCGTAGCAGATAAGTCTTGCCATTTTCAACTGGCAATTTGAAACCTCCTGCATAAGATTGTAACAGATTCCACATCAAAGATCTTAGTTTTAAACAAAGTTTCTAAATTGGAGGGAAGAGAAAGAGAAACAAAGTACCCTGTGATGGACAACTGGAGACCTGTCCTGGATGGCCATTAATGGTGTGAGCGTCTGAAACATTTGGAGCCAATCCGGATTTGAGTGCTTCATTGATCACAGCTTCAGTGTCGGATTTCCACCACTCGGCTGGCAGTAAACTATCGAGTTAGATTAACTCCAACTTGCGCAAGTTTGATAATTAAGAAGACAACAAAAATTTTGGTCCCAAGTCCTAACCACTGGCAAGAGGGTAAATCAATCAATCATTGAATTAAAATTCGAGCTCACCTAACACAACAACAACTTCCTTATGGGGTTTTGGAAATGGATAAGGCACACCGCGCTTAGGCAAGATAACAATGGCGCCATGGACCGTGGACCTTAGCCAGAGAATATGCGCATGCCAAAGCAGTGTGCCTCTTTGGCCTGTGATGGTAAAGTTATATACATAGCTTTGCCCTGTCGGGATTGGACATTGTGTAATGTATGCCGGCCCATCAGCCCAACCTGTTCGAAGTTGCCTGATACCATGCCTGCAAAATTAAGTGAACAAACAACTTAATGAGAAAGCGTCCATTCTGTATTTGAGTTTTGGCAAGGATTTTCGTGAATTGTGAACTAGAGCGGATAAAAAGAGGGATTTGGGTCCGAACCAGTGTATGGAGACATTGTATTTGACATGGTTAACGACTTTGACAAGCACGGTATCATCTTCCCTGGCGTATAAAGTTGGCCCTGGGAACTTACCATTGACGGTCACTATGGGTTTGCTTGAGCATAATCTAGTTGTATTCTTTATTAGCACCTGCGCATGTTACCAACAACACAAACTCAATAAGAAGTTTTAATTTCTAAATAACTACGTTGGTAACAATTTTGGGATTGTACCGTCATGTACTCATAAACTTTGTACTTCTGTGTTTTTCTTTGAAGTGTGTGTTGATTCTAAATTTCCTATGTAGAAATGATTATTGCTTGGTCTAAAATTTACCACGGATCCAAAAAACAAAAAAAAAAAAGGAAAAAAGAAAAAGAAAGTTGCTACTGAAACCGAACCACTTATTTTACTTGAAATAAGTGGATATATGATTGTAGGCAAGCAAACATCAAATAATATGCATGCAGATAAATGTATGGAGAGATCGTTCATGTGAAAAATCGATCACGTCAATAAAAAAAAAAAATCGTATTAAATGAGACCATTAATCTTTAATTTAGCCCATTTTTTTACCAGCTGCAGCTTAGTGTTTCAACACTTCTGCTGCAGACTGTGGACTATGTCTTTCAGTCCAGTGCCTCCAAAAAAAAACAGTTTGGTCAACAATTAAACAATCCACTTACATCAAACTTGTAGTGTCGAACAGCACAATCCACAAGAACAGGAAAGAGGAATGCGACAAGAACTAAAACTCGAATGGAAGAGTCCATTCTCTCTCTCTCTCTCTCTCTCTCTCTCTCTCTCTCTCTCTCTTTTTGTTATCGTTTGATTTACTTGGTTCCTCTCGGCCTTGTTGCAGTCATGTACGACTCGGCACCGCACCATTTTAAAGGGTGATGGAGCAATTGCTGCCATGTCGTTTTTCTTTGGTTAGGTGGATGTATGTATCCTTTAGAAACAAGAATTATTCAGAAATAACAAGGTTCATTCCCATGATTTCTTGCATTTCACATAAAGTTGTTTTTTAAGGACCAAATCATAACTGGAAGTTGAAGTTATTTAACCTCTTAATGCAGTTTCCAGTTAATTAGAAGCTTAATCAGATTTGGAATTTATGGTCATTAATTTACCTTTCGGCCCACCTTTAAGCCCACCTTTTAGCTATTGATCTCCAAGATATTTTCTGATAATCTTGTCCCACTTTGGTACTTTTCACTTAAATAATTTAACACACAAAATATTGAATTGGGAAGATCTGGACAGACTTGGTCAAGTCAGAATGAATTCAAAAATCTTGAATTTCTTTTCTTATAGTTTCTTAAGTTAGCATTTTATCAACATTATTCTATGGGCCAGCTGGTCTAGTTGAACACTCCTTAAATATAGTGCCATGTACTTTCAATTGTTCTCCCTGGCTCCTATATTACAATAATTCTAATTGTACTGGTATATCCCTTAATGTATTAATTTTTTGAGAATCTTGATATATTCATTAATATTAATTTTTAAATTAAACATAAATATTGTTGGTATACAGTACATAGCATATGTAAATATCATTATTTCATTGTTGGTAGATCGTTAAATTTTTAATTTTAATAATTAAAGATTAAACTTTAGCCAAATATAAAAGAATGTAATTATTTTGTTAGGTACAGTTTTTTAAGGGTTTATTTTTGGACAGTTTCTGAAGTTTTTTTAACTGAGTTACAAAGATTTAAAGACTTGATACAGCTTTAACATATAACGATTTACAAAGAAAATCAAGTTTTCTGCAGCATAATAATTGAATATGGTGGAACTGGAAGCTAATCACGTAACACATCAGTTTTTACTACTTTCCTTAAAGAAAAAAAAAAAAACGAAAAAAGCAGAAGGCCAAAAAAAAAAGGTGGTAGATGACACATCCCCGTTTCATGCTGTCGTGGGACAGAGAACAGCCAGGAAAGCCTCTGTTTTCTCGAATCAACTGATGTCATTGAAAAAAAAAAAGTAAGCAAAAAGTGTGGTCCGTCACTTGTTCCTTACAGGTTTTAGACAAGATTAAGCTCCAAGCAAGTGAATTTGATTGCGACTCCTGGAACATATTGGAGAGATTTGCTGTTTTCCTGTTGACCAGAACTTCGTTTTATGCTTGATTAATTGAATGAAACCTGCCACTAGGATCAATGTTAGGTTTAGAGTTGGGTCCCAAACACCATCAAACACAACGCTGGTGATTGTGGCATTTCAGCCTTTCCATGAATTCATCTTTTAACAGAAGCTGAGCGCGATTTTGCAAGCCTACACAGATATTTGGTGGCACCCAAGAATTAAAACGTGAAATCCATAATAAATGAGCTGCTTTCTCTCAATGATCTAACTCACAATCAATTGACTGTAAATAAAAATGATTAAACTTAAATATAAGATTATAAAATATTAAAAATTTATTAGATATGAGATAATTCATTTTAACATATCTTCATATTATGTATGCGAAAATAAAAAAAATCTTACACGTGACAAATTAAGAAAAAATAACAAAAAGAAAGTCTTGATTTTATTAAACATTTAATTTAAAATTAATTGACAATAAATAAAGAAGCTTAACTTAAATATAAAATTATAAGATATTAAAAATTTGTTAAATGTGAGATAACTCATTTTAATACGTTCAATGATTTTAAATGTATCGTAAAACTATTTGCATCAAAACACGGTTATTTGTTCAGAATATTTAATTCTGAATGTAGTATATTGATGCGAAAATACGTCTTTAAAATTATTAAAAAAAATGATTAGATCCAAATAAAACCTCATGACACCTGCGAGCAATTGGTGATTTAGCTTTTAAATAACGTGTTATTAAAATTGGAAGAAATTTATACTAAGACATTATATATATATATATATATATATATATGCATTAGACTCCATAGACGAATAAAATTGCATACGTATTGTATAGATAAAAGTAGGTGAAGTACAAGGCCAAAGAGTAAACATGGTAGCTAGCATGGCAAATTGCAATTGGGTGCTATCTTATCAAACAAGATTATTCAAAGGTTGAGAAATACCTTTCATGTTCTCTATCAGATGGCAACCCAGCATAGTATAGTGGCTTGTTTGAAAGCCAAAACTAAACCAACCGAGAGCAAGTAACAAACTTCCTAACCTCACCTCCCTTTTATCCATTAATATTGCCTTCCTCTCTCCTTCCAATGTTTTCCAAAACAAATTGGGTAATAGTTGTTAAAATGGGTTAGATTACCCATTTGAAGCCAAATAGCTATTAAAGTCAAAGGTTAGTACCAGATTATGATGAACTCGCTTGGAAATGAGTCAAAATCACGCCAAGTCGAAGGTTGAACCCAGGTAAAAAAAAAAACTAAAGCTGTAAAACTCTGGTTCAGAGCTCGATTAAAGCTTGATCAGGATAGATTTTATGGGTCATGTCCATTGTTGAAACTACATTATTTTGAACGGATTTGATGGGAATTAAGTAAAATTTTCTAGCTTTGACAAATTGTTCATGCACTCCATGAACATGCAGACAGATTTATTGCTTGGGATGTAAGAAATAGATCATTAACTGTTTTGCGTAGTTGACTATGTTGGAAGTGCCCTGCAGACAGAAAAAAAAAATGTGACATTGTAATATTATTATTTTCTATCATTTTTTGTCATTTTCAATTTCAGGTGAAGGTGGAGAGAAGCCTTTCGGTGAGTGAATCTTGAGAAGTACCCTTTGGACTTCACTTTATTAAGATTTAATCTTTTGGTTGATTTTGGTAAATCAAATGTAATTTGTTCATAGCATAGTGTGGAACACAAAATTTTCTAGATTTTTAATTGGATCTCAGTTTAATGTTTATCAGATATCGAGTTCTCAAATTGAGGTCAGATTTCGATTTAACCAAGCCTGAGCTCAAGATCCAGTTTCGTTCTTTAAGCCCAAAGCCTATTTTTATTTTATTTTATTTATTTATATTTATATTAATATTAATTTATTAATTAAACAAAAAATACAAAAATACAAAAAAGCTAAAAAACAAAAAAGATAAAACAAAAGGACCTGTGGCAGTGGGTGCTGTGCACGGCACTACTGCCACCCCCTGTTCACCACTAGCCACCCACGGCCCATGCCCTAGCCATCATGCCTTATAATTCCTATTCAGAGATCTACTTTTACCAGGGCCCTGTGCTGCCTACTCAGGCACAGGGCTAAGGCAAAGCAAAAGAAACAAAAAGGGGCTGGTGCCTACCATACATGACACATCTTCTCTGCCAAGCCCTGTGCCACTTTCCTAGGCATAGGGCCATGGCCGGAGCTCTATAAATAAAGCTCCATGGCCAAAACCACTAAAAAAAAAAGAGAGACCTTGCAAAAAAAAAAAAAAAACAAAGAGATAAAGTATTTTGTAAAAAGAAAAACAAACAAAAAAAATCAAACAAAGAACTTAGTCCTTTGGGAACGGGGAACCTAGCACTGAGAGCCCCCTGCAAAAATAAAAAGGAAAGAAAAATCAATCTAAAAAAGAGAAAAACGCAAGTCATAATAAAAAAAAGTTTGACCAAAACTTTGAAGGCCGATCTAAGACATTTCGATGAGATTTGGGTGAAACGAGACCTAGATTTGTGTTTAGGGGGTCAAAGAGAATTTTTTGAAAGGTTTTGAGATTTTTAGGCAACTAACATGGGGTTGAAACTCATCGATGGCAAGGAACATGGCTATTATCATAGCGAATAGCCACCGGCCCCAATTTGTTTGAAAAAAAGAAAGTGGGAGAGAGTATTTTTTTTAGGGGAAATGAGGAAATGATCTGAAAAAAATTTTGGGCTTTTATAGAAACTGACCCAACGATCTACTTTTCTCTTTGACCTCTGACCAGTTCAATTGAACTAGCTCAAACTAGACTAGATCGGTGTTAAACTTGACCAAATCGTCAAACCGTTTGGACCGACGTCAACTGTTTGGTTTAGGTAAACAATTTTTTTTGAATTTTTAAAATTTTTAATATTATTTTTGTTTTTTTAAATTTTATTATTAATATTTATGCATGTTAAAATGTTTAAGTTTGCTAGGATAAATTTTTGTTGCAATAAATAATTAATCAATAATTAAAAATAAATAATGACTATATAGTTAAAATTTTTGATAATTTTGTTAGTTTAAAAATAAACATTATAAAATAATAATATAATTAAAAAATAATAAATAATTAAAAAATGTAAGAAAATGAAATATTTATCTAACGATGAGATTCGTAAGTATTCCAAGTAGTGATACGTACAAAATCTCTAGGTGAGAAGATTTTTTAAAAATACTAATAGTGTATTAGAGTATTTATAAAAAATTTTCAATAGCATAAAAAATTTCCTTTTTAGTAATAAATTAAAAATAAAGTAATAATAATAATAAAAAAATTTATCTAATGATAGGATTGTAAAAGTATTCCGAATAGAGATACTTTAAGAAATTTTTAGGTGAGAAGATTTTTTTAAATAATATCAGTGTATTGAAATATTTATAGAAAATCTTCAATATAATAAAAATTCATCTTTTCTTCAAAAATTTAAATGCAAAATTAATAAAGTCAATAAAATTTCTAAAAAAAAAATAAATAAAATGTGTGCACCAACATATTATCATTTGCATTGTATGCATAACATACTTTTTTAAGAAAAGTAAATTCGAACAACTGAGAATGAGATTCTAAAGTATTCCGAGAAGCGATGCTTAAGAAATCTCTAGGTGAGAAAAAGTTCTTTTAATGTTACTAATGTTCTAGAATATTTTAAGAATTATTTCAATAAAAAGGTTTTAATTTAATTTTCTCAGATTAAATTTGAACAATGAACATGAAATAATAAAAGATATTAAAGAAAGTAAAAACCAAAATT